CCCCCCCCCCCCCCCGATGCGTTCGCCGTTGCGGGTTTCTGTCCCGCGCACGCGGCAAAGGCGAAGAACCCGCCCAGAGCACGGAGGCCCAGCGCTCGTGGGTGTACTCGCACGACCCAGTAGTCAAGTACCACGACAAAGGAGTGCCGCTCGCGCGCCCTCCCAAGGGGCTCAGCCTTGACGTTGGAGAAGGGCCTAGAGCCGCCAGGTAAGCGGGGAGGGTAGGGTTTTGGTTTGATGAACGTCGACGCCCTTTGGAAAAGTAAAAATGGCTCTCATGGTACCATTCCGCCATGCAGAACCGGCGTGTGTTGTACGCTGAAAAAGCGCTTGGATGAAAGAGTATTGGCTACACCACGAGAACGCACTCCGTAAGTCAGCGAGTGCAGTCAAGGCTGGCTTTAGCGAAGACGTTGGGTGTTTGAGTGTGGATTGGTATATGTTTCTTTGATGCCGGTCGCCGCTGTTCTGTCGCAAGGATCTCTCGTTGTTGGGCGTTCGTTTACTCACGTTCATTTCTGACAGAGATTCTCACCTTACGACGACGAGCCATTGGGATCGACCTGTAGCGATAAAACTGTTGAGACGATGACCCATTGGAATGAAACCTGTAGCGACAAATCCGTCGAAGAGGATACATTGTCGCACCGCCCCAGAAAGCTCGTTTTATTTCGGCAGTAGTACCGGCCCCAGGAAGCCATCTTCACCCTCCAAAAAAACGCTTCCACCACCTGCAAGCCCTAACCGTTGTTGCCCTCATGTGTCTCAGGGAGAGCAGACAGAGACAAACTAATGATATCATGTGTTGGCCTTGCGTGCACCGTCCACAGAGCAAACAACAAGCGTTCCCGGAGCATTACCCTGGAGCGCGAACCCGCCACCGAGAAGGGAACCAGCGTGTGGATCGACTGGCACATCGCCCCTGGGGAAGCGTAGAGCGCCGTGGGTGCCGCAAGCGGCGTACACACCACGACCAAGACGTTGAAAGCGCCGATGGTTTCGTGGCGAAGGTCGTAGACCGATGTCGAGCCCACGACGCCAACGGTGACAACAACACTTGTGTGGCAACATGAAGCATAGGACTACCGAAAATGTCGGAGGGATGGCACCGGTCGGGGAGATGGCGCCGGGATACATACATCACACAACACCGCCGAGCACCAGTAGGCCCGCTGTGTGTGTTTTATTGTGTATGGCACCGGTCGGAGAGATCGAACCGGGGTGCGAAATGAAAAACGAGGAAAACACATCAGAAAAACTACAGTGCAAAGTAGTATCGTACTTGGTGCCATCGCTCCACCCATTCGCCTATGGTACTGCTGTGTACAGCAGTGGGTAGATGGAAGCTGCTACAAGAAGTATTGCAGGGTGTTGTCTTTCGCCGAATCCCAATCATGTTATCATGGGTATTTTTCCTGTCGAAAGGCCCCAGATAGTGCGTGCGGCGGAGATAGTCTAGACTATATAGTTGCCGGCAACATCATGTGGCGTCGGCTACGGTGTTGCCAGGAGAACAAACTCAGGCTGAGCGTGTCCCTTTTTTCGCTCCATTTTTTTGTTCGGCACGGCTATTTGGGACAACGTTGTCCCAATTTTTTATTTGGGACAACACGTTTAACTCGGCGTAGAAAGCTCGGATCAACCTCAAACCAAGTTTGTTGTAATCCTACTGGACACAGCTTTCACGGAATATATTTTGAGTCCACAACGGAGCCGGGGCCGAGAAGATAGAGCCTAAAAAAGGGGCTCCTTGTTATGGAGGAAAACGTGGATTTACCGAAGCCACGGAGCCCCTTTTTAGGCTCTATCTCCTCGGCCCCGGCTCCGTTGTGGACTCAAAATACATTCCGTGAAAGCTGTGTCCAGTAGGATTACAACAAACTTGGTTTGAGGTCGATCCGAGCTTTCTACGCCGAGTTAGACGTGTTGTCCCAAATAAAACTTTGGGACAACGTTGTCCCAAATAGCCGTGATATTTTTGTTTGGTGTATGTAGAGTGTGTGGCCTGCTTGGGTAGAAAGGATGATATCGAGGAGGAATGTCACTCGTAAATCAGGTGGAGAGCCAACCACATAGATAGTCCTACATAGCGGTGCCAAAAAAAAAAATAGTAGCATGCACCGGGTGCACGGTCGAACCTGCTGCTGCGAGGAGGGTCGTGCGCCAATCTCAACCATTTCTTTGCCCGCGGAAAAAGAACGCTTTCTCATGCTGTTTAAAACAAGCCAATTCAGCTCGGAAATCAGGTTGTTACCGCTTTTTGTTTTTACCTCTCAGTTTTTTTTTGGCGGTAACCATAATGGTCGAGTGGATCATATTGTGCGGGGTGGAGAAGCCTCACTCCGCGCAAGGGAGATGATCGCATCACGTTGTGTTGAAATGGTCAAGCGTCCTCGAGGCAGTTATACAGTGCTTACAACTGTCTCTGGAAGTGAAAGCACCAGAAAATAAATTAAGTCATACGCAGCTGTCATCCCTACGCAAGGAAGCAAGCACAAGATGCCGAACACCGTTGTTGGCAGATGCAGCGCACCCTTCATGCAACTCGCCGAATATCTCACGGCGTTTCGCGCTTGGTGATGTGAGAGCCTGGTCCGGTGAGAACCCGGCGTGCTCCGTCCCGGCTTTGTAGGGATGCGAGGTCAATGGTCTAACGACTACGGCATGCACGACTATGAGTACCCCCCCCCCCCCACACACCGAACGAGGCCGAAATTGAGTTGCTACACTCAACCTTTTGGGACGGATGCTAGCTAGCAGTTGCTATACTCTGCTTGCTGTGTTGCTATACACACCGTTTACAACCCCATCGGTGCAGAAATCGAGTTGCTATACTCCACATGCGGTGACCGGTGACGAGCTAGCAGTTGCTTCACTCCGCGTGCCGTGTAGATATACAGTTGGCGAGCGCAGTTACGAAACGCTTATTTCAGGTCCAGCCTCGAATTCTTATTGTGGGCTATAAACTCAGCGTATGTCGTTCAGTTTCTTATTTCAAGTTTCTTATTTTTTCGTGCAGCCAAAACCTGCTGAATTTCTTTAATCGACAATTTCTTATTTCTCTGCTTGCATACTACACAACGTTCCAAATATTCAAATGATTTGCACTGCTTTCCTCGACCCCCGTACTCAACCCCGATTCTCACTACCGACGGCTGCACGTAAGGCCACTCCCTAGAAGCGAAATGTATCCAGCGGCAACGTCTCGCTATCGCTACAAGGTCCTGTACCCCCCTCATGAGTGAGGGCTGAAACTAAACAAATGCATAAACACCGCATGATGCCTCACCCGCACGCTGACGTGCCAACAACGAAAGCTACTCCGTCATTATGTCGCAAGCTCCGCGAGGCGAACATTGGGGGTTGTCACCCTTTTGCGCCTCCCGCTCCCTTCCTTTGGGTCTACCTCTAAGAGAACCCACGCCCCAATTGCGGCGTCTTCATCCGTGCTGTACGACTCTAACAGCATCTTCATGCTACGCGTGCTTTCGTCACAGTGCAGGATGACGCGGTAGTCGTACTCCTGCCGCGAAGCGGGGTGAGATCTGCGACTAATTACCCCTCCGAACCAACCCAACCCGAGTTTCACGAGAACCCCACGCTTCACTGTCGACTGATCGAGGGCCAGTGGTGGAGACGCCTGGAGTCGAAACCCGTTCGGGATGTCCATCTTCAGCGTTTCTTCCTCAGGCGACAACTCGTCGTCGTCGTCGAGCTGGGTCAGCGAGTCCTTATCGTTGTCATCGTCTCCTGACAAGGCACAGCGGAGGCATCGTCTATTGGTGTGGCGATTCCTGAAGCGGGGACAATATTCCAACACTCATTAATGTGTCAACAAGAGGAGATTTCTTCCGCAAGGGTAATTCTTCTGTGCTCCGAATGAACGCGAAATACAATATCACTTACCGTCTCTCTCATCATCGCTGGAAGAGGCGTCCTCCGACAGCTGGTCCACGTCAACATTGCCGGTGTCGCCATCCTACTTGCCCTCCTCATCAGCGCTGGCGCCATCCTCCACATCCATGAAAGAATATGTGGAAAGGCCCTCGAGGTTGACTTTGTCGTCCCCAGAGCCATCCGCCGTCATTCCACATTCGGTTTTCTCGAAGAGACGGAACCGATATTGCTCATCTTTATCGATCTCCTCGGTCGCCTGTGCCACCCAACTGGTAAGCAACACGCGACGTTCGGAACACGTCAGTGCTTTGGCCTCCCACTTTTGCAGGTTGTCTCCGCTCTCCAGCCATTTGTCCAGCTGCACCCCCACAGCCACCTTCAGCCGCCGTCCATAGCCGGCGTCGATCGGCTGGACCTCGTCCGTACAGCCTGCCGGCAGGTGCCAAAGAAGCGTGTTGCACTCCTTGTGGAGATACTTGCGGAATTCCTCAGTCGTCTGCCCGTGCAGGTTGTCGGCGAGAAGAAGCGACTGCTCCTCGGGCACCTTCCCGTCTACCATTCGGCTCGGGCGAAAAGAGCGCTCCAGCCATTGCATGCAGAAGTCGCTGTCGGCCTAGGCCTTGGGCTGGAAGAAGGCATCTACCCGCTTGTCGTATGCTGCCTTCTCCACCTTGGTGATGCCGGTTCCTTTGCCGCGGAAGATGATCGCGCACCTCGTCTTTTTCCCGCCTGCTCCTATCGTCGGTTGCACCGTGCACTGCCGCATCTCCAAGCCGGGGATTGGCTGGCCAACATGCACCCGCTTCGCCCCTCTTATGTCCCAGGTGTCTTCCTGTCCGGTCACGAACCCCAACGGTACCTGGTCGGTGTTGTCCCTCAGCTCCTTCACGAAGCGCCCCCACTTGCCGTAGGGTCCTTCGTAGGGGATCAGCGCCCCTGGTTGCTCGACGGATCCTCCGTCCGAGACAGGTGCTTGTGGCTCCCACGGGATCACCTTCCCTCCATGTACACGAGGCTGTTGCAGGAGCTTTCGGAACTCCCTGTGCCATTTCCGGATCTTCGGCAGTCTCTCCTCCACAGACTTGTTCTTGGAGTTAGACCGCCGCCGCTTAGACAGCGAGTGCCTCGTCGCCCACTTTTGCGCGAACCGGAAGGACGGCCGGAATGCCTTTGCTCGTGGATCTTGCGGGTACCTTTCCATGATAAGCTTTTTGAAAGTGACCGTGATCCACCTTGTCGAGACCCGCAGCTTCCTCTTGCGTCGTGCCAGCAACATCTTGTACAGCTCCTTCTCCGCGTCAGGGAACCACAGCCGCCGTCGAGTGCATGTCGCCATCAGACTACTCCGCACCTTGTCAGCTGCCTGCTGCACGAGAGAGTCTTCATCCTTCTGCCATTTGCTGATATTGCTGGCCGAGATCCCTGACTTATGTTCCAAGTAAAAGAGAGGGGTCATACCGAAGTGCGCACGAACCTCCGTTGACCGCGACTCTAGATCTCGCAGCTCCATAATAACACCGACCTTCTCGCGCGAGGTGTACCGTCTCCTCGAGGCTGCTCCACACGTTTTCTTTGGTGGCGACTCCGTTTGTGAAAAGCCGTCGTTCACGAGGTTGTTGTTCCGCTCGGCTCCAGGGCGTAAAGGCTGCAGCACAAACGTCACGGACCCTGGCGGACATGTCGCGCCGCATCCGCGACTCTCTCCATGGTGAAACGCAACGTGCCAGCAACGTCCTGACGGTGTCCCACCCCAAGAGAAGAGATGATGCCCCCGCCCCCTTCCTGTTCGTTGAACACTACCGTTGAACTGAGATCTTCGCTTCACGCTCGTGGTCAGTTTTGATGTGCACCCCAAGGCCCTGGGTGTTGAAGAAAGGACGGTTGCACTTCGTACAAGGCACTGTCGGTTGAGACGGTGGAGGCGCGGCAAAATTGATGTTCGTGATCTCCTCCGTGCTGCCGTCCCCACGCGTACGCACCACCTGCACAGAAACGGGGGAGGGAGGGCATCGGAGGGCGGTGGTATTGTTCATTCCTGCTCGAGTTTATTATTTGTTGTTTGAAAGATAGCAACATAAACTCGTTCAACAAAGAGTGCTGAAGCGGGTAAGGCCAGCACAGCAGCATGTATGAAGACGCATGTCGGAAAGGGTTGACAAAAAAAGAGGCGAACCTGGTACGGAGGCACGCTGGCGACTTACTGCTACAGACATGTTCTTGCCATTAAGTGCGAGCAGAAGCGGCTCAAAAATCATTTTTATGCGGCATTTCAACAATAATTGTAAGCGTTGGGATCATTCATCACGTGGTTGACAGCAGCAGCGGTATGACGCAAATCGAAGACAAAGAATAGCAGAAAAACTCACGCAAACAGAAAGAGACTCACAACACAGAGCATTCGATGCCAACAATACATACAAGTAGAAGTAAAGTGTATTTTGGACACAAAAAAAAACAAAAACAAATTGAAAAAAAATACTGGTCTGTCCGCATCTCGGTGGCGCTGAATAAATTTTAACGGTAGTGTTATATACGACACCGGTGTCGTACTTCCTTATATACGACACCTACCATTTCTTGGCCCACAGGGCTCCAATCGGCGTACAACAAAATGCGCTGTGTAGCCACGGCCCGCAGCTATCAGCCCATACCATTTTGGGTCAAATCGGCCGAGTGGTTACGGAGAAAGAGCCGAAAATAGGGGGCTCCGCAACTTATCGGGGGGGTGTCAGCGACGTTCCGGTCATAACTCCTTGCACAGACATCG